TTAGCCATGCCCTGACTTAGATCAGCCCAGAGGTTGTTACAGGGTTTGATCTGTGAGTTAGCCATGCCCTGACTTAGATCAGCCCAGAGGTTGTTACAGGGTTTGATCTGTGAGTTAGCCATGCCCTGACTTAGATCAGCCCAGAGGTTGTTTCAGGGTTTGATCTATCAGCCCAGATAAAAAGATGTTCGTTTGTTTTTCTAGATCAAAAGAGGACAAATCTTACTTGATTCTTCATCACTCTCTTCTTCTTCACTGCCCTGTTAAAATAGCAATAAATTTTAACACTTATACTTTTAACATATATACTACTTGCTTCATAATAGATGTTTTTCAAGATGTGCAAGCTGTGTCAAAAGTATTACACATGCTCATATTTATTAATAGGTAGTTTTAGCAAGTGGTATTTATAAGCRCTCATACATCTCAGAAATCATGTATTTCGTACGATAGTTCCTTACCTCATCAGTATCATCATCAGCCTCATCCTCGGACTCCTCTAAGTCAAGTCCCATGATATTCTACAGGATAATAGAAACCATCAATAATAATCTATTAAAAAGATTCATCAATGTGAATGCATTACATTTATTGAATTCCTTTGAGCAAAACAAGTTCATTATAGCTGCCTAGTCAACTRCCTAGCTGTAGATTTATAAGTATTCAAGTTTAAAATTTTGTAGTAGCCCTAGAGGTGAAATATATGTATGTTATTTACCAGCCAGGAGGTCCGGATAGGGAAAAACTGTGCCCAAGGTCTTGAATATACGGACCGAGGCCGTTAGGCCGCAAATGTATTGATCAGGGCACGTTTGTACGAAGGGTGGATAGCACTATCCGATGAATAAATCCTTATCCAGTGGATAAGTTGATGCTGTTATCCAATGAATTTAACCACTGGATAAGATTTATCTGTCATATAGTGCAATCCACCCTTCGTACGCTATTGCAAGGCCCAAGTATTTACCTCGTTATCATCATCTGATACTTCCTCATCTGATTTCTGTTCTTCTTCAAGCATGATCTGCAATCAACCAAGGTACAATAAGTTACGAAATCCTGATACTGTATAAGTTTCTGTTTCCATTTTGGGCTTCCTGTGGCTGACCTKATTGGGGCTTCAAGGGCTTAGTTCATACCACATGTCAATCCCTAGGGTATCATTTCTTTGTTTAAAGGCGCCATTACACAGAGCAATTTTCTCTGCAACTTGTCTCGCAACAGCGATGCAAAACAAGTTGCAAGAGTGTCTACGCAGTGCAACGGAGACACCATCATTGCCAAAAGTAAAAACGCATTCTACTTTTTGCAATGATTGTTGCAACTTGTCTTGCAACATTTTTTTGAATTGCGCTGCAGCTTATACACTGCAATGCTCCATGCAACTTGCTTCGCATCTCTGTTGTGAGAAAGTGGCAGAGAATATTGTTTCCTGTAATYGCACCCTAAAGTTTGCACATGAGAAGACACATGAATATGGATACAACTGTGAGAATGACATGTGGTTTAAAATGAGAAAAGATAACGACCAGGCTAAAGAGGTTTTAAATGTGGATGGAAATAAGAAATGTAAGATTTATAATTTTGTAGATTCTCTTTTTCAAGAAACTGTCTTTCTACTGTTCTTTCCAGTGCAAAAAGAAATGATACACGAGAGAATAAGACATATTCTGAAATGGGAAAACATTATGCCAAAGGAAAARAGGTACAGGTATATCAGGGGCCGGAAAATCCCTAAAATGTGTTTTTTATACCCCTCATAAATCGTATAAGGTTGGTTGAAAAAAATTTGTGCCAAACCATTAAGTAAATTGTAACAAAATATCCATTAAAGCAAATTAATAGTTAATTAATATTAGTATTGAACTTACTTTTTCTCTGTTTTTATGAAATTTATCAACTTCATCATGGAAGAAATCATCAGATTCCTTGAAAGTTAAATTAATCAGGATTATAAACAAACTAGTGGAATATTGCAAATCCTGCATTCTGATTGGCTACGCTACTATACATGTAGGTCTGTTATCGATAACCGATAATGGCAAAGATGATTGTGTAAGCCTTAAAAATCCATTTTAAGGACATGCTCACATCATTATCTGGTGTCACCATTCTCTTTCCAGTTGTGGATCTCAAGTCTTCCTCAACTAATATTGCTGTAGTAGACCTCCCCATTAGTAATAGCCTATTTACCACTCTCTTCACTGCTACGTGCTGATCGAGACAACAGTCAAATAGGGCAATACACTGCCGTCAATCAAAGAATGTTATTAAGGTACCCACCAATTGATTTCTTTGACGGAAGTGTATTGCCCAATTGCCCTGTCGCGACTGTTATCTCGATCAGCACGTCTCTTATTCATTATGCTACACTGTTTGCAGGGGTATTCTCCCTCCCCCTCACCCATTCCCCCCACAAGGGATTATTTGTCATCATCTTTCAGATCTCTGCGTAATATTAAATTAAAGATCGATTTTGACGATAAAAGAGTCATTGTGTCGTATTAATTTTTGAATATGATAATATTAAAAGGAAAAAGATATGAGAGCTTACAAAGAAACGACTGCTTCTGCCATCAAGAAAGTCATCAAGAAACTAGCTTTGATACTAAAAAGAAGGCTTTGCGATTGCGAATTAAAGAACCAGAAAGCAGAGAAAAAAGCGTAAAAAACTCACTTGGTTTAGTCCTTCATCACTGCTGTATTCCTCTTCGTCCTCAGTTGGTTTTCTGATCCTTTTTCCTCTGCAAAGAAGCAACAACGATGTGAGCAAACACTTCAAATTTACCACGTGAGTCAGACAAAACACCAGAAATCTTTCCTGATTTCTCCTAAATGAAATATTTACCTCTTTGCTCGACCCATATTGATCTAAAGAAGGTATTTCCTTTGAATTATTAGAATAAGATGCGACAAAGTCCGCAAAAAAGGGGGAAAAATGATCCAAAAATTTAGTACATGTAACTTTGCTCGGTCGTAAAAGAAACCAAGGAGTAACACAGGCTACCCAATAGCATTTTTATAGTTGTGACGTATTTCCGGGTCCAACTGCTCGCAAAAACCGCTAAAATAAAGCGAGAAAAGTTCTTAAAGATTCAACCTCCAACTGAAACATTTAGAACTTTGGACAAATAATTCTGTCATGAAGAAAAAGTAGGAATTTCTTTGATTGACCTGCTCTTCGTTTTGAAACCGGAAGTCGTTTCTACAGCACGAGTAACAGACAGGCTACCCAATACTAGTCTCAAACTATTTTCTCCTCGTTTCTCCTTATTTTTTAAACATTCATGAAAATATAGTTCGTTGTCGATGATTCCAAACATTTTGAAGGTCCTAAGGCTTAAATAACTTTTTACAATAATAGTTTTACTATTTTTTAGCAATATTTACATTTTGATTGACGGGATTCCTGAATCATTGACGGTAGAGTAGTACTGGGACCTTACCATTTAAAAAATGGCGGCCATGTAGTCAACTTGTAGCTGAAGTTTATTCCAGCTTTTTAACCCAAAAAAACATCAAAAAACTGTCCTAATTTCTCCTTTATTGCCTAAACCATATGTGCTGGTGGCTATGGGTAAGTTTTTTTACGTCGCTAAATCTTTGAAATAAGGTTTAATTGGTCCTTTTTTTCGTTAACCAAAACTTAACATTGTCATGAAATATTTTTTACCTCGTTTTTCTTGTAGATAAGTTTGCTTGTCAGCTTTTCTTTTGCTGAAAGAAGCGCTGGAGATGAGTTACACTGTTCCAGGGAACATGCCAGGATAGTGAGAAATACTCTTCGACAAGTAAGTTTTGTGTATAAGAAGATAACTATTTGGCTTGTGCGTAATGTTTTCCCATTTCAGACCACATGTCGTTCCCTTGAGCATCATTTCTTTGTTTAATGGTTGTGCATGAGAAGTCACATGAATATGGTTACAACTCAAACTAAGAATCTTATTTGAAATTCTCTAGGGAATGACAGTCTGAAATTGTCTGAAATGGGCAAACACACTTTTTTGACAAGTTTTTTTGCACAGTAGCTCGTTAAGGAGGCTGGGAAGTGTTTCTACTTTCACACTCACACAATAACGACCTGAAAATTTTTGATATGGTCATAATATGATGGCAGGTAAGAGGAAGAAAGCCAAAGACCATAAACCAAAAATCACAAAAAACATGAAAAAAGGATGTAAGACGTTGCTATGACAACTTCAGAACCCTCATTGTGTCATCAGTGTTTTTCATTTTAAAAACATCTTGACTCAGTGAAATAGAAAATCGGTGCATTCGCTGCTTCAGTTATAGAGCATGGGAGATGAGCAGAATACAAGAGAAGTATTAGGAGAAGTATGACGAATACACTGTAATATTAAATACAAATTATAAAATGACTGTCATAAATCTCGCGTTCTGATTAGTTGTGAGAGTGTGCTTTATGAGAGCACAGCACACGCGTGCACTTTCCGTTGCATCATTTCTATCTACAGTAAGATAAAGGTAATTGTAATTTGTATTTTATAAAAGAAATAGAAAACTTGCTTGCTGTGTGCTGTGTGTAGTTATAAAGCACTTGGGGATTGGCAGAACACTCTAAGTGTAGAGAAGTACTCCACTACGTGTTGTGCTTCTCCTAACACTTCTCTCGTGTTCTGCCAATCCCCACGTGCTTTATAACTGCACACAGCACACGTGCGCGTTTTCTATTCTTCATTAGAGTAGCTGTTATCTTGGACACAGTGATGAAAAAAAAAATTGTGTCTGCATGCTGTGTGCATGAAAAGATGACATAATATGCTGCTATGGCAACATCATAACCCTTATTCTTATATTAAAAAATCATGACTCAGTGAAATAGAAAATGCTTGGGCATACTGTATACAGTCATGAAACATGTGAAGATTGGCAAAATATGAGAGAAATGTAAGGAGAAGTACGGAGCGTATTATAAAATAAAAATTGGATTAACTGTCATTTTGGACAAAAATGATGAAACAGAATGTGCTCTGTGCTCTCATAATTGCACATGCTTTCAACCAATCAGAACGCTAGATTCATATAACAGTTATTTTATAAAACCATTTCAAGTATTTCAATTTATTTTTATATTTTCTCAGCATTTTTTTCCAGCCTTTGAGAAACAGGGTATAGAGGTTCCAGAAAAATGCTCATTACACGAGAGCCACGACTTGTACATCAACCAAGAAATAAATAAGATAGAGGAACATGTATCTAGTTGGAAGTGTGACTTGTGTGGTAAAACATTCTATGGAGAGTACTTTCTTGATGTTCATTTCCATAACAGACACCAAGATAAACTAGTCGAGGCAAGAATGACAATATTGATAGGACTATACTATGGAAATCACTAGAGTGGTAAAACATCCGTTGGAATGCACGTCTCACGGCGGTAGATTTATGTACCACGTGATGAGATTTTTGTGTACCACGGGATCATGTTTGAGAGCATGTCATTGTAGTAGCGTTCGATAGAAAAATGTGCTTCAAAGCGGATGATCAAGCAGAAACGTTAAAGATAAGTTCACCAATGCAAACTTGAACTATTGCCACGATTATCTGGACTACATGCACCAAGTTTGATCCGTTCAAACTGAATATTTTCGACGAAACCGATATTTCTTTTTATGACTGCAACAAGCGCTACGGCTACTCACTCCAGACAGTTTTATCCTCACGTGGTACACAAAAATACATAGTGGTACATAGATCTACCCCCGCAAGACGTGCATTCCAACGGATGTTTTACCACTCTAGTGATTTCCATAGTAACAGGCCTTAAAATAAAGGGCAGCCAGTCGTCGGTCATGATGACTGGCCGAATAGTCTGCTTCACAGTTCCCTGTGCCATCTTGAAAGGTAGCTGTGCCTTCACATCGAATCGAGACGAATGGCGAGCTTGCAATGATAGACACGTGAATAATTGTCCAAGGTGGTAAAAAAAGGTCTCTGTCATTGCAAGCTCACCGTTCGTCTCGCTTCGATGCAAAGGCATGGCTACCTTTCAAGATGGCACAGGGAACTGTGAAGAGGACTATTAGTTTTACCTCCATCATACCTCATTTCTAGCTTAACGTTACTGGTCAAAATGACTGCCAAGGCAAAGATTTGACATGCTTACGTGCTTTTATATTTATTTCTATTTCTTCAGGATTCTCCTGTGTGTTTGGCTGACTATTGTGACATTTTTAGATGTGACTTTTTATTGGATCATAAGAAAGACATGTTTTGGGAAAAATCACTCTGTAATGAAAACAAACTTGCCATCCTTAAAAGAAGATGTGAAGTAAGTGACATTTTATCATAGTTTTTCTATGTTGTTTGTTTACTTATCAATTACAGTGCGACAATTTTAAAACCTGGGCCACTTAGGCAGGGAGAACTAATCAAATTATATAATAAAAACAATACATTACAACTTTGGGTAGCAGAGCCAATCAGAAACCAGCAGAAAACAATAGCTGCTTAAGACCTATTCCCGCAAGAAAATGGAAATGGTTATCTAAGTTGTTTACATGTAATATCAGGGTCAGATTAACATTCTTGGCAGTCTAGGTTTCCGATTGGCTTGACTACCCAAAATTGTAAAATATCATTTTCATTCTCTATTTTAATTGGTTCTTAGTCTAAGTGCATGGGCCCAGTTACAGTAGTTGCACTGTAACACTCATTCACTGGGGGTGATTGATGCAGTGCGTTTTGTGGTGCCATTAGATTATGATGTTTGTGCATTTGTGAGACTACAAGACATGCTGCTTTAACGAGGTTCCAGTACAAAATATAAAGACACACTGTACCAAGTGTCAAAGAACGCAAAATGATTATTCAGTTTTTAGATATTTAATATAACTCTTTGGCTTCGTTGTTTGTTGTCCCATTTCAGACCTTGTCATACCACTCTTTCTTTGGAGTTGATTCTTTGATATGTGAATATTTTAACATGTTCGTCATAAAAGAACAATTCTCAAGGGAATGTCATGTGATCTGCAATGGGCAATTTGCATACAAAGCTAAAGAGGTCCATTCATTTTTAAAAACTTAGCAAAAACCTCCTTTCACCTCTCTCTCCGGTGAAATCACTTCCAGTCTTGTTATTTACCAGTGAACAGAGTGATGTTTCCCGGTCAGAAATTTGATGACCTGAATGGCACGTTTCCTCTTGGCCAATGAGAATATTAGGGCGCTTTCCATTACTGTGCGGGCACTCGAACCAATGAACACTTGAAGATTTTTCAAATCATCCAATCAGAAGCCAGATTCTTACCGAGGTTCGAACATTTTTTTGTGTGGTTCCAGAGTCTCTTGTGTTGTTGTTGTCGTTAAAGTTTTATTTTATAGCGGCTTCTTTGTCAATGAACAATACTTTTGTTTTGTTTCTGTAAATTATTGAAAGTTTACACTGTGCCACAGTTTTGCATACTACCACGTTTAATACGTGATCTAGCAGTTCATAAGTTCACACAGAAAGACTTTACCAGTTCTAAAGAACAGACACATACCATTTGAGAACTGGCTGCTCAGAATGGTACAGTAGGTTAGACCTGATGGAAAAGTTCCCTTAGAAAACAAATTTGACACTTATCATATAACAATTCTTTCCTTTTTTCATATTGTAGGTTCTGATGCATAGTTGTCTTCCTGAAGGAAACTTGCTCAATCAAACAGAGTACAACATTTATGGTACATAATTTATCACTGTTACTAGTTATTCTTCAAAGAATTAATGATTTCATTATTTTCTCAAATTGTTTTTTCCCATATTTTAAGTATTGCATTTAAACCTATTCTGTTCTATTTCATATTCTTTCATCCTATGTATCCCTTTATCTCATCTCATCCCATTTTCTTCTCATCTCATTTTGATTCCATCCAGTCAATCTCACCCTATCTTATCATATTCATTTTCTAGCTATTCCTTTGATCCAATCTTATGCTATTCTATCTAATCCTATTTATCTTTTGTAGACCTCTTTACCTTGGGTGTAATCTTTTCCCATTTCTGACCACATGTCATTCCCCAGAGTATCATTTCTTTGTTTAACAGCTGTACATGAGAAGACACATAAATATGGATACAAAGATTCCCCATTTCAGACCACGTGTCATTATCTTGAGAATACGATTCTTTGTTTGAGTTGTATCCATATTCATGTGTCTTTTTATGCCACTCCTTTAAACAAAGAAATTATACTCTAGGGAATGCCACATGGTCTGCAAATGGACAAAACATTATCCCCAAGCTAAAGAGGTCTGTACTCTAGAGAAAGTCGACCTTTTTAAAGTTACTATTCCTTTGACAATGACAGTGACGTACCCATTATGAGGCAAGCGAGGCAGTTGCCTCTGTAAAATGTAACAATTGTTCCTCAAAACACTCATGGAAATTGCATTTCCCAAAGGTCTGAATTTCATATTTTTTGGGGGAGCATGCCCCCAACACCCCTAGTTGCTCTAGCTATTGGCAGTCGATTGCCTCACTAAACATTTCAGTCTGACTATGGCACAGAATGATATTATTTATCTCTCTCTTACTGTAGACTCCACTACATCAAGTATCTGCTCACTATTAACTTGTAAAAACTACTGGAAACCACCATATTACGAGGTCAGTAATATATAAATTAAAGGGAAGCACGGGTGGCGTAGCACTTGCCTCTCACCAAGGTAACCCAGGTTTGAGTCTCCCAGGGCTCGTTGTTGTATGTGAGGAGAATTATATCAAATTGTCAGAGATGATCATCGCAGTATATGAAGCAACCTATGCAGCTGCAAATTGAAAGACTCAGAAAAAATTCTGAGCTTGAACAGGATTTGAACCCGTGCCCTGGCGATTCCTGTGCCATGCTCTAACCCCCGGGGGGTACTCCCATATATAGACTATACAGGGATGATCTGCTGAACAGGGTATGATTTTTCGAGCTTCTTGTCATAAACAGGGTATGCAATTTCACTTAAGTTCCAAGTTTTTCCTGAGTTTCCTGTCATATTCAGGGGTTCTACTTTCGTATTGACCGAAACTGGTTATTATGGTTGTAAAAAAAAGATGCGCAAGATGACATGACAATTGAAACAGAAACTCAGTGCAATTAGTTATATCTTTTGTCATAAACAGTCTACAAATTTGGGTTTTTTTGTCATAAACAGGGTACCCCTTTCAGAATCCCAGCAGAACACCCCTACCCAAATAGGAGTACCCCCCCCCCCCTCCTGGGCTCTAACCACTGAGCTACCAAGTCTCATAATATGAGACTTCAAGGACACATTAGAGAATTATTTTGGAGAGGAGAATTATTTGTTCGTTCTCTCCTGTGCTTCATGGTTTTATTACTGGCTTCTCCGGTTTTTTTCCCCTCCACAAAAAGCAATAACAATTCTAATTTGAACAGTACCRATAGCCTTATCAAGTGGGTTGCAAAACCTGCTGGGCTTTTCGTCCACCATGCATGGAGTGATAAATCCAATTAGATTCTTTTAAGATATAATTTATATCAAATGAATATTTGTTTGTAATGTGTACATGTAGTTCCAGAAATTATCCATACCCACCCCACAGAGGGAATTTGGAATTTCCGAAGAGTAGGGGGGTCAGAGAAAGAACAAAAATTACAGAGTTTGTATGGAAGAAAATTGGAATTTCTGGGGGTAGGGGGGTGTCTTGGAAAAATTCCTTCATGGGGGGGATGGATAATTTTTGGAACTACACAATTGGCAGAAAAAATACTGTTTCATTTTTCTCATGAAAGTTCAAATTCAAAGCATGTGCAGAAAAAAATTAATGATAATGAGGTTATTTTATACTGCTTGGTCCCTAATATCAGGGCTTTCAGAATGCTTTGGAGTAGCTGGCTGTGATTTGATACAAGGAACAGAAGGTATAAACAAAAAAACATAGGTGGAAGTTAACTTGGAAACAAAAGCTGGAGTTTCAGCGGCTGCCAATTTATTCTGAAAGCACTGAAATGACCCTAACACAGGCCCTAGCTTGGGCACAGACCAGATTATATGAAAATTTTGAGTCATTACTAATGCTTGGTAGGAAAGATTTTTTAAAAGACAGTAACCTTTATTTTATTTTCATTTCATTATTATTTTTTTGTTGAATCATGATAGATGCCTGCATGGAGGATCATTTTGTATGCTATTGTGACACCATTCTTCATTATGGGTCTATTCGCCTATTATTATTGTGCCTGGGAATACTACTAGTAAGTAACAATGATCCCAGTAAATTGATTGATTGCGATATCACTGTCAAAAATGTTGCAAATGGCCATGAGAGAGATGCAAATGAATGAACATCTTGATTCCCATGGGTGAAATATACTGGTGAGCAAACAARCTTTCTACAACCTGTTTCGATAGTTCGTAATAAAACTATATTTCGTAACACACTGGTTACACATCGTTTCATTCAGTTCTTTACAAGCAGCTAAAAAGAATCAACAATTTAAAATAAAATAAAAAATTTTGCTCACCAGTACAGACACGTGATCATTAACCGTAAAGGGCCTATTGCCTTGCTTTTGTGACCATCGGTAATTTTGATCAACACATTTCAGAATCAATCTATTGATGTAATTTTGGTGTACAAATACTCCAACTGTAGTCACGTTGGAATATTGAAATACAGTATTATCAGCAACAGCATAAAAGAGCCCCTTACAGGGAGCATTGGTTGTAAAATATGTATATTATAATGTATGTACAGTATATAGAGGGGCGAAGCCTGATTTTYCCAAAAGGGGTTGCACAAATGTAATAGCCAGCCATTTTGTTTGTCAAAACTCTGTACCAAAAAAAATCAATAGTGGAATGAAAGTGCGATAAATCAGAAAGATTTAAAAACAGATACAGCCAGATAGTTTTCTAGTTATGATTCATCAATCAATTTCTATGGGTGGGGTGGGGGGGGGGGTGAGGGGGTCAAGTGCGTCCTAGGATCCCCAACCTCTCCTATATATATGCGATTCCTTCCTCTTACCCTCACCTTATTAATTAATTAGCCATCAGGGCCCGGTACTACCAAAGGTGGATAGCACCAGCACAAAAATCTTATCCATTGGATAAGTTAATTCGGTATCAGCATCGACTTATCCACTGCATAGGTGTTCATCAATTGGATAGTGCTATCCACCCTTCGTACAACCAGGCACAGATCTTTCAACAAAGCCTACCCTTATATTATGTATTTCTTGCTTGTTTCCTAGTGGTGACCTCTTCCACGATACCAGTTCAGAGATGGAACAACACAGTCCACGATATGTAAGATCATGGCAGCAAGGAGGTGACTTAAGAAATCGCTATCCAACAAGACCTATTCACATGTATTAATAACCCATTCTTACGATCACTCACATGACCAACAAACCAATGGTACTATTTCAGACACATAATCATGCCTAATTCACTCCCGGGGGAGGGGGGGTACTCCCCTATATGGACTATATGGGGATGATCTGCTGAACAGGGTATGGTTTTTCGAGCTTCTTGTCATAAACAGGGTATGCAATTTCACT